AAACCCAAAACATTATAATTCCTGGACTTTAGATGGAGGAGGAAAATTTCACAAGCCAGGAAACGTGAAGCTGAGAGTTTCTGCGAAAGGAAAGCTGAGCACCTGGATCTCCAGAAGAATGGCCTTGGCAACCTTTCCTCTGGAGCAGGAGCTGACATGAATGTGAATTGGCCCAGGCAGTATCACTGGGATAAAGGAAGACTTTGGAAGAAGACTAAGTGTAAGTACTTCATGCTCTACCAGTTAGAATCTTATTGAAATTCCCTTCTTTTAAAAAGTATCCATCACATTGAAATAATGTCTGGAAAAACTGAAGAAGAAGAAAAAATATCAACATAGCATCATTGGAAGATTTTCAGCCACCAAACCAAACAGTGATGGAGTTTGTTAAAATACTCTCAATCGTGCTTCTATAAAAAGTTGCCAGGGCAGAAGGAGAAAGACGTTCTCTCCTCACCCAACGCAGTAAATGCAGACACTGGTTTGCATGCTTCACTAAGGATGACATGTGGAGAGACCAGTTTAAATTGTTAGTTATCTGCACTCCCAGATATGTAATACTGTTAATCACCTCTACGGTTTCATCCTTGATATTGAGTGGAGTATGATTATGCTGGCTCGCTCTAAGATCTACAATGACCTCCTTTGTTTTATTAACATTTAACATCAGGTTAGGGTTAGACAGTCCTGTGGGGAACCCGAACTCAAATAAATGGAGTTGGAAACTTTTCTTCCAGCTCACAAAAACTGGGGCCTATCAATAAAGAGGCCAGGTTTGTTCACCAAATGCTGAGGAATTATTGTGTTGAACGTCAAACTAAACCATCAGCATTCACACATGAGTATTCTTCTCCTCCAGGTGTGCCAAGCCAAGATGAAGCACACAGGAAAGTGCACCTATAGAACAGTTCTTCCAATAGGCAAACTGCAATGAGTCAAGTGTAGAGGGAAGGTATGAAACCATATAGTCCTTTACCAGTTTCTCAAAACACTTCATCCTAATGGAAGTGAGTACAACTGGATGGTAATCATTGAGGCACATGATAATAGTTTTTTTGGGCACTAGTGTTGTGGCCTCCCACCTGTGCAGAGTTGGCTGCTGCAGACTTAGATGATGAGAAGTTTGGGGAGGAACTTGAGTGAGTTCTGGAGTCTGGGGAAGACTCTGATGGATGTCCTGCATCAAAGAGGTAGAGCCAGGGCCGTCCGACATTTCCCAGCCACCATAGAGGCAGCTGCCTTTGGAGCAGAGGTGGTATTCAGCCGGTTCTGACTGGTTCCGGCGAACTGGTAGCAGAAATTTTGAGTAGTTAGGAGAACCGGCAAATACTCCCTCTGGCTGGCAGGATGAGAGATCAAATGGCAATAGAAGGGACAAGATGAAGTTTTGCTCGATATATCACTATGAAATGGCTTGAACCAAAGACTGAGAAGCCTTGAAGAAAGAGGGATGTTGGCAGCATCAAAGGGAAAAGCTATTGAAACACTCATTTTAGGCCTTGCATTTGAGCCTTGATCTAAATGCAGAACCCTCTCTATTTATTGTGTGTGGTATGTGTTATAAGCTCAATATTCATGAGTTTTGGAGGCCAACTGTGCATTTCTCTATCCGGCTTCTTTTGGTAGGGCAAAATATTTGCTATGCGTGATGTCTCCAGCTTCTGTTTATAAAGCAGCCTTTCATACAAAGAAGCCCACTTCTTTCCAGTTTCTGAATGAGGGCTATTGAACTTTGTTCAACTTTCTGGGCAGGTGGGGGGAAGACGATGCCCCATTGGATGGGGAAGCATTTTTTTCCTTCCATGCTCAGAATATCAGGTAAGCAAGAAGAAGGAAAGCTCAATCCATTTGCAAAGTTCTCAGGGAAGCCGAAAGAGCTATATCAGAACTTGTTAGAAAGGAAAAGAACAGCATAAGAAAACCATAAGTAGAGGGCACAAATGGAAAGAAAGGTGAGGATGGGAATGAATATCCTAGGAGAACATAAAGAAGAAGAGATGAAGAAAAAGCTACACAAGTTTGGGTTGAAGGAAGAATGTCTATCTCATGATGCTGGAGAAAAAAAGAGGAGGCTGTGAAATCTTCAAAGACTGGCTACAGATTCCGTGTGGCAGAATCCAGGGAAGAAAAGTATCGGTTCTTGGATTTATTTTCAGGATTATGTGAGTGCCATCCAAACATTTTGGTAAGTCTACTATTTTATTTCTCCTAATCTTGTATCCATTGATCCTTTGTCACTTTACTTTTCTGTGGTTATAATCCAATAATACCATACCCATTCAGGGTTCCCCTTTCCAAAAAACCTTTCAGCTTTTATGATTTAAAATGAGAGTGAATAAGAGGGAGGGAGGGAGAGGGGGAGAGAGAGTGAAGGAGGGAGAGAGAGAGAGAAAGAGAGAGAGAAAGAGAGGGGGGCAGAGTGATGGTGGTAGGGAGGACTTTATGATAAAATAAGAGAAAGTCCAGAGAGACAGAAAATGACAAAGCTGAAATGAAATGTTGGTGAAAAATACCTTCCAGAACACATAGAAGGGGAGAAATGAACCGTTAATTTCCAATACCCTGCTAGGCCTCGAGAAGTGGAGAGATGCCCACATACTAAATGAATTTTTATTTGAGGGAAAGAGCCAAGAAAAATCAATGAAGGAGCCATTTTCTTTAATAATTGTGATTTTTAATGGCATTAGAAGGAACAGGACTTCAGCCAGTTAAAAAAAAAAGGCAAGCTCCATGGTGGTGCTGTAGGTGAGAGAAATAGTGAAAAATTCTAGATGTCACTCTAGGGGAATAGCAGGGGAAAGAATAGTTGGCATATTAGGAGAAGTAGGACAGAGTAAGCAAAGTGAGAAACAATAGGAAGGAAATAATGATAAAGAAAAACTTTTAAGCCCTTTTGGACTCATTTTCTCTGACAAGAGTTATATATTCTTATGAATAATATATATTTTTAATTGTTGTGGATTCTTCTATTGAGATACATAGAAAGGATGAATGAAAATTTATCAGAATCCTTACAAATATTCCTTCTAAGAAAGAAGGGTTGGTTTATGTCTTCAGTGGTAAGTCTACCAGATCTGAGCTGAAAAAGATCTGGGTGATTACTTGAAGGATCTGATAGCCTTATTTAAAGGCTGTTATGCTTGCAAGTGTGGAGATTTCCAGAATGTATATAAACTAGGAACCCGATCCCTCCCATCAGCCAGCACCCCAACCAATTATTGGCCTTGCATGACAGAAAAGTCTGAAGAACAACCGGTATATTTGGATCATTTCACATGCTTTATTTCAGCAGTCAAAATAATTAAAAACATCTCAAATTATTATACATATACAAAATAGGTACAGAATCTTCGGTCGGTCATACTCCCTTGAACATCTGCCTCTTGTTACAGAGAAGAATGGATTTGCTTGAACTTGAACCCACAGGGGAGAAAAAGAAGAGTTAAGGTGACAAAGGTTGAGAGCAAAGAAGAGGTAGAAGAAAGGAAAAGGTTGTGATTTTAAAGCAATGAATGAAGACCATTAAAGAGCTAGAAGATTCAGCACAAGAATTTGCTAGCAGGGTTAAAAAAAAGAAGTGGGGGGAGGAGAAAGAGCGATGGTGATGGAGAAGACCTGGATGGATGGGAAAAAGGCAAGCCAAAAAGGAATCCACCTGCTTTACAAGAGAACAACAGAAAATTTTCAGACCTTGATCCCTTGCAGCAATGTCTAATTATTATTATTTTTGTCATCCTGGTTTCTTTTTGCTTGTTAAGAAAATTAGCACCGTTTGAAAATTCACAAGTATTTTTGGGCACCGAGACACTAATTCTATTTCCCCCCCTTCTAATATTTCCATTTCTATAGCACCAAACAGGCTGCTCTTAGCAACATAATTTGCTTGGAGCAAAAGTTGTTTTAAGTTTCACCACTTCAAAAATAATTACATGGGACCTGAACATTATTAACATAGAAGACTAAAAGAATAAAATAAAATAAAGAGACACAGCACCTTTTGCTAAACTTGGAACCCTGCCTTGTTCCCTGGTCCCCACCCCCAGCCTGGTGATGGTGTTGAAAAAAAACTCCAAAACTACCACAAAGAACTTGGAAATCACAATTGTGAGGTAGCTGTCCATTACAATAATAACATACATTTAACATTGCAATTTCTCTGCTTTCTATATTAGCCATTTATTTTTCTTCACTTGTTCACCGACAACATATTTGTAGATCTTTAACTTATTTTGTCCACTTGTTCTGCTTTTTTAAAAAAAAAACCTCTAACCATCTTTGCAGGTATACTAGCATTATTAGCTGTTAACACTTTTCCAAATTTGTATTTGTGTTGAAAACCATTCACTGCCACACCTATATTCAGAAGTAATTAAACTCCTTTCTATTGCCGGCTGAACAAAACAGAAAAAAAATACACTTACAGTGGCTGAAATAATAATCTTTTCTGTGATATTGCTCTGTATAAAAACAAATAAAACATGTAAAATTGCCAGCAGAGAAAGATGGCCTATAAGGAAATTTTGGGGTCTTTTTTCACTTCCAGGTTAAAGGGTAAGTTTACAATAATTAGGAGGATGTTATGGGCAGGCTGTAAGACTAATTTAGCATTGCTTTTTTGTTGCTTTGGAAGCAACAGATTTTTTTTCTCCCCCCAAGAATTGTAGTTAATAATTCAGGTGTTCCTTAGTTGGTAATGATTTTTATTATTTTGTATGGTGGCTCTATATATTTATTTGGAATGTGCAAATTGTGATCCCAAGATATTACATGATTTTAAAAATGAAGAAGGTAAAATCAAGCCATTCTGTCTTCGGTGATTCTAATTTAAAAAAAAAAAAGTCAAGCAAGTGGATGCATTTCCTTAATTATTTTTCAAAAGTCATTTATTTTTATTTTTTTTTGGTTTAATGCTTTTTTTGGTTTTTTTTTAACGGAAACGAAAATAGTTTTAGAGATGATGGATAGAAAAAGACACAAATTCAAGTCCATGTGAAATTTCCTTCTTTTTTGGCTGTTTTTTATTTTATTTTTAAAACTGTCAGGTTTCCTTTGGGGTTTACAAGTAGCAGACTGGTCCAATATCAAAGCCGAATTCCTGGTCTGGAGCACCAACGTCCATAGGAGCCACATCAATGATGGGCAACCGGGAAGTTTTTGTTGTCTCGTATTGAATGACTGTCTTTCCCCAAGTGTTGGTGTGACTCTGTAAAGGAAATGGAAATGGCACGAAATTAGAAATGTTATATAGGCTATTTCAGGCATTCGTCGGAGATCTGTGTTTTTTAATCCTGATTCCCCAGCCTAAAAACAACTAGACCTTTGACATTCAAATCTCTTAAATTTGAATAAATGGTGAGGGGAATCATCAAGACTTCACCTCTTGTTTTATTCCTAAACTTTCCCGGTGCACAGCAGCTCCCACCCCTAAGAATCTTAGTCAAGACCTAACTACAAGTATGGACATTTTGCTTTTCTGCAAAGATCTAAATGTAGGACAGATCTTTATTTATTTATCCCATAGTTATTATTATTTTTATAAATAACCCAAGGTGGCACACATACTCAATACTCCTCCCTCCTCCTATTTTCCCTACCATAACAGCCCAGTGAGGTGTGTTGGGTGAAGAGACAGTGACTGACCTAAAGTCACCCAATTGGCTTTCATGCCTAAGGTGGGATGAACAACCCCCAATCCCCTGGTTTCTAGCCTGATGCCTTAATTATAAGACCAAACTGGCTCTTCAAAAATTATCTTGCAAATTAAGAACTTAAGATACATACGATTATGATCCTCAGCCTGAATGCAACACTAGAAACTAGTAGAAAGTTAAAAGTGCTGCTATTATATCAAAGAACAACATTTGTCTGCAGAACAGGAACTCTCAATGGTTCATGGGTCTCAAACACTGAATGGACTGATGTTTCTCTTACTCAAATATTCAAACTAATAGATACAGAGGCATATTTCTTTATACTGACTGGATTAATGGCAAATCAGCCTCCATTTTTAATTCAGAAGAGAGCCATTATTTTCCAGTCTTTGACCTGGTTGCTACACACTGTATTTACTGCATTTTAAATCTTAAGATCTTCCTGGTATCAATCCAAGATTCAGAACATGGAAAAAGTTTTCATGCAGAGAGAGAAAAAAGAATGACCTTCCCACATATATAGCAGTATATAACATATTCAAATATTTCTGCTTGTGTCTAGGACAATTTTAAAAAGCAGGTGATGTCCCTGTGTTTTATTGCAAGCCAGCTGCCCCATCTAAAGCAGGGCTCCCTTTTTGGGGACCAGGGACTGGTTCCATGGAGAAAGGTTTTTCCACAGACTGGAGAGGGTGTGATTTCGCATGTTGACTGCATCCCAAAGATGGGCTTCTCTTGTTTGCATGGCCCTGTTGCTGGCATGCCATGGGCTGGTGCCATCTATGGATTAGGGGTTGCAGACCTTATCTAAAAGACTCACCGTGCAGCCATCCTCAATAACTGAATAGGTGAAACGGCTGTTGCCCTCTCCTCTCATCTCAATGTCATTGGAGCCCTGGAGGAGCAGAGATTTCTTCAGGTTTCCAGTTTGTTGATCCATGTAAGCTATACTGTTCTTGCAGTGGTAGGTGATGTTCTGGGAAGCCTCAGTGGACATCAGGCGCAAGAAGGTCAGTTGGATGGCAACATCAGCTGGGTTGGATCCTTCACTACCATATTCAAACTACCAAGAGAAAAGAAAAAGTGAAATAGTATCTATCTTATCTCCTGTAGAAATCCCTCTACAACACCCAGAAATAATGTGTTGCTTAATCTTTCCAGTCTCACCTGGAAGCCACCGGGCATAGTCTCACCAAACCAGACATGTTTCTTTTCCTTGGGGTTAATGCTGCTGTACCAGTTCTTCCGTTCAATAGTGGCCTGAGTTGGGTAGACACAGCTCTCTCCACTCTCCATATTACAATAGACTTCGATGGCATCCAGATTGCAGCCTTGGTTGGGGTCGATCCAATACATTCCTGTTTACAGGGGAGGAAAATGAATAATTTGACTGACGATGATCTTGAAAGGAATACTATTCTCATCTATTTCATCCCCTAAAGAGAATTGATTGGCTATCTTCTCTGTTCCTTCTTTTCTGAAGCATTTTCCCATGCTATAGGCTCTTTGTTCTCAAAAACTGTCCAAGTGGCTTCTCCATCTCCTAAAATATGTGCAACATTTGATAGCTGTAGTGGTGGTGATATTTAGATATGCCTCTATGAAAATAATGGGCCTAAGGATAATTATCAGGGGCATAACCACATGTAATGAAAGTAGATGTCATTGCATCACTTTCCAGTAATACTAATCAAAAGAAGAAAGATCTTTCTAACTTAAGTTACTCCTCTTTGAAGAGTTGGAATAGTTGGAACAGGCAACAGTGATTTACTTGTTGTAACACCCTTGGGAAGAAACCTCACTAAGACCTATGCAGATTATATTCTGCAGGAAGAAAACATTCTTAATAGAATTGATATTTCTGTGAAATTTATGAATTTTCTGCTCAAAAGATCTTCCCAATCCCTGATGAATCAATAACTATCTTGTGAATAACTAGTTAATGAAAGCATGCAAGAAAAAGTTCAGCAGTGCAAGAAGGAAGAACAGCAATTCTGACAGCAGAAGGCAACATGTTCTGATACAAAGATCATTCACAGCAGTAAATATTGTCCTAGAAGCTCAGGTATGGCTTCTCCTGCACTTACCACTCTTCCAGTCTCCATGGCACATCTTCAGGTCCCGGCAGCTACGGGCTGGGTTCTTACGGGTTCCTTCAGGGCTACGGATGTTCTCAATCTGAAGAGAAAGGCTCTTGAGGGTAGTGTCAACTTCCAGGTCACGGTCACGCATTACATTAGCATCATCAGCTCTGTAGTAGCGGCCACCATCATGAGCTTTCTCCTGAGGAGGTTGGGGCAGGAAGCTGAAGTCAAAACCGCCACTGGGTGGGCCTGGGGGACCAGGTGGTCCAGGAGGTCCAGCAGGACCCTGCAGGAGGAATATGAAGAGAACAAGAATTAAAGGCAAAGGTCTTTTCCACTCATTGTAGGTAAGTTGTGATATTTCTAGAATCATTACATACAGCAGGGCCAACATCACCAGTACGACCACGAGGTCCAGGTGGGCCAATGGGACCAGGGAGACCATTCAAACCATCTTTGCCAGAGGAACCAGCAGATCCAGGGGGACCCTGTCAAGAAGGGAACAATTCATTATTAGTGAGCATTTGGCTTAAGATGGAAGAGGGGGGAAAAAAAAGCTAAGATAAGACATCTCCAACAAGTCTCATTTTTTAACAGGATACATCTCTTTTCTTCTAAAGTAACACTGTATGTTTGCTGAGCATTAGAATCCAATTCAACATAGAAATACATTTCTCACAGTTGTCTATATATATAAAAAGTGTTATGTTATCCTCATCTTGCAATAACTCATTCTTTCTGGTTATTGCATTCTGATCCTGCATGCTGGATCAGATTCAAGGTATTTCAAGTTGTTCTCAGAGTTCCCTTATTCATCCTGGATGATTATAACGCAGCAAATAATGTTACAGAATAATCAGACTTACTCTTGGACCAGCAGGGCCAGAAGAACCAGAGGGACCTTGTTCACCAGGAGAGCCCTATACCAGAAAAGGAACTTGTCAATTACCAAATCATCTAGATGGATATTTCCTTACTGTAATACAATGATACAAGTGAGAAAGCTGAATTCCCAACCTTAATAGTGGCTTAAAAAGCATGTCTGGTAAAGTTTAATATGAAATATTGGGCTTCTTAATTGCCCATATTATCTCTCGCTCTCTGGCAAATGGCTTCTGTCATGGACTCAGGGAACCAACACATAAGCAGTGCACATGAATAGATGTATATATCTACTTCTTTGTAGACAGTCTTTTGTGATCACCTAAATAAATGTTTGAATACATTACACAATGGAGGAATACTTTTCTGCATGAAGGGAGGATATTAACCAAATGTTGATGTTTTTGAAAGTCTGTATTTCTTTGCCAGTTGGGTGGCCTTGAATTTGTGTCTACTATTATCAGAAAACACAACATGCAAAATGTTTTGAGGCCTACTGCATTATACTGGTGTCAGAGGTAAATTTGAATTCATTAATTCGTAAGATGATTTGTAAAGAAAAATATTTGATGAGGGCAGATAGTTCTGGTGTTATTCAACAGCTGATATCCTTACAGGAAAACCTGTAGAAGTAGTTTTAAAATCAAAGTGATTTCAAAAGGTAGCATTTTCCTTTTAGAAACAAATTGTAATTTTTGTATATTACAAATGCAGCTCAGTTGAGAAGTTGCATCCAATGCAGAAAAGTGTTCACCCCTCCTGTGCTGTTTGTGCTCAGAAATCTATCTACAATCTAAACATTGAAGATTCCATTTAATCATTTTCTATAAAACTGCAGCATTGAGTTAAACTCCTTAATAAGATATTTGGATTAGGAAGTTTCTTTGAATTGGAATATTCCTTTCTAAACAGTCGGCATGAAAAGCTACAAAATCTATGATATTTTTCAAAGTCTACATTGTAATAAGATACCCATGAATCCAAATGTGAAATTTTAAGACAATGGGATTAACATGGAAATTGACTAACATAATGGACTAACCAGAACACATATCCCTCCTCTTTTTTTAACCAAAGACAGCTAAAAAAAAAAAGAGTTGAATCTTGTTCTTCGTCAATTGCAGATACTCACAGGGGGGCCAGGGGGGCCCTGAAGACCAGAGAATCCTCTGTGTCCCTTCATGCCTCTATCACCTTGTTCACCAGTCTCACCCTTGTCACCACGAGGACCTTGTGCGCCCTGGGAAAAGATTAGAAGACAGTTTCTTTAAAAATCAGTTTTTAACAAACACAGCAAAACCTATGGAGGGCCATTTCTTTGTAGACATTTCGGCTACCGAAAATATTGGTTGCTAGCCTAAGGCAAAAATAGCCTATATGTGGACAACAGCAAAGTCAACCACATTCATTCATTGCTGAATGGCAAGACTCCTGGAACAACATCTAACATAATATCTAACCAGAATATCCTTTGAATGATGTGGTTTCTTTAGAGGAAAAGAAGTATTTTGAAACTCCAACCTACCGCAGGACCACGAGCACCAGAAGGACCAGCGGGACCAGCAGGACCAGCAGGGCCCTGGAGAAAAAAAGAGGAGAAAATGTTCAGATCATTAATTAAGTAGCTCCACTCGCTATTCATTTCTTTGGGAAATCAGTCATTCTATGCGACTGTTTCTTTTCAAGCAAGAAGTCTGGACAGTTAGGGAGAAATCAATGATATTTTACCAAAAAAAGAAAAGAGCTTGATTTTTGGGAAAATGAAAATCAATTGGAAATCCATTGTTTTGGATTAATATTCTCTTGTGCATGTGAAAGTTGGGCCAGGATCCCTCTGGTGTTTGGAAAAAGGACTCTCTTGCTACATATAAAGAATGAAAACAATTGTCACTTACACTCTCACCACGCTCTCCATTCTTGCCAGCAGGGCCAACAGGGCCAGGGGCACCAGGGGCACCAGGAGCACCAGGAGCACCAGCTGGGCCACTCTCACCACGATCACCCTATTTGGGAAAGACAAAGGGAGAGAATCAGCATGAAGCCAGCTTTTATTTCCAATATGATTTGAATGGGACTTGTTTGAATAGGGTTATCCTATAGCGTTTGTAAGTTCTTGATACTTGTTATGTGATTCATATCAATGACTAATAGCTCACCTTGGGACCAGCAGCACCATCGCGTCCAGGAGCACCTTCAGCACCGGGAGAACCCTATGAATCAAGAGAGAAAGAAGACAGATTAAGCAGGATGGCAAGATCAAGGGAAATCAGAACCTGAACTTGAGCAGAATGGAGAATTTAGAATCCTACCCTGACGAAGAATTCCATGTTCTCCCATGAAATATTTAATTTGAATGGCTGACTCTATGAAATAGCTCTACCCCAAGTCAAACCTTGGGATATTACTCAGGGTGTTTGGCTAGAATACCCCTCCAAGGTCTCCAGCAGAAGTATAAGTATAATCTTTATTGTCATTGTACTTAAATACAGCGAAATTGGTTTTTTAGTCTTTTAAACAGGAGTTTTGAATGCTGAAAACTGAATTCAAGATGTTCATATATCTAATCTTTATCTTTTCCTGAAGCTCCCTTGTTCTGAATCCAATCACTGGTTTATTTAGCCTCCACCTGTCTGATACTTTCAAGTTCTCTTAAGGTCTCAAACACAGATCTTTAATGAATTTCCTACCGTCTTTTAGCTGGAGAGTTTAAGAATCAAACTGGGGACACCCTTGCATGACACTGATCATGTTCTGCCTCTAAGGGATGGCAAAGCTACAAATGTCTATTTTGAAATTAATAGTGGCAGGTTTGATGACACTAAACTTGTATAGAGGAATGAAAGTGCTGAGGAGAGTTGGAAGCATCAAATCCTTTAGAAAAATGAGCACGCACCTCGCGTCCAGCTTCACCAGGGGGTCCAGCCAATCCAGGGGGTCCAGATGGGCCAGGAGGTCCACGTTCACCAGAGGCACCAGATGGGCCTTGTTTGCCAGGCTCACCCTATGGGCCGCGAAAGAGAATACAATGCTATGATTCACACAAACTGCTGTTCCGAAGAGGGAAAGGAGAATTAAATCTTATAGAGTATAAATGATATTCTCTAGTATTCAGTATCTGGGAAAATACTAATAAAAGGATCTGTTCAAAATTCAAGGCATAAGATACACAGTAAGAGACAATATTTTGCTGCCTGATTCGGATTGCTTAAATCAAAATGCATAGTCAGCCAGCTAACTTGATCTTCCCTTTTTCTCCTAGTATATTAGAGAGTTAAGCATTTGCTGCTTTTTCATGACAAGCCGAATCTGATCAAACAAAAATCTCCTGTTGGAATAGCCAGATCTGAGAAAGATGCTTGTTCTTAGGATTAATGCAAGACAAGATAACTCACTTTACCTAAATTCTAAATCAGGCTGCAAGATTGGGGGGGTGGGGAATCAGCTCGGATTGAAAGATGTACAGTCAAAATTTTTGAAAGCCAATATCTCCCCAAATTATTTCCAGCTGCTGTTTCTGCAGTTGAAGAGTCCCTTTCTGTTATTGTAACATATTATTTAAAACAGAATTCCAGGAATTTGTGAAGCACATTTCTCAGAAAAGTCTGGCCTCTCAACAAGAAACAAGAGTTTTAAAACCCAGAAGATCCATCGACTCTATTTTGAAGGCCTAGCAACATGATTGAGATAAATACTTGAATGGACAATCAGGTAGTCTGGGGGTTTATAATGCTGTGTTTTGTTAGGAAACGGGGCCCCTTATGAGAAAAAGATTTGAGATGTCCAGCTGGAGGAACAGCTGGAGGAAAAGGAAAGGCTTAAACTGTGCAAATGTCTGGGCTAACCAGTAACTATAGAGTCGTGATTAGTGAAAATATTGAGTGATGTTTTGCCCTGTGAAATTTTGAAACTATATTGCTCCATTAGGAAATACTACTACATATTTTTTTAGTGTAGCCAGTATTGAGGAAAATCTACCACTAGCAGAAAACTTATCTCTTCAACAATGCAGATTAATATTATTACAAATGAGGAAACAAACAAATCAAGCCCATTACTATTGTGCCTTGTAAGAATGTGCAGAAATAAATAACTGGATTAAAAAATACACTCTTGCTTTGAGACATCAATTGCAACCTAATCATTGCTCCTTGGAAATATACCCTGCATATCAATTGTGTTCTTCATGCAAACATGTTCAGCACAATATTATTGAAGAAAACAACATCTTTGTTGAGTTTGCCCATAGTTATTTATTGGTTGGTCTGAAGAAAAATCCAGTTAAAGTCTTTTGTGTTTGTGTAGCCCTATATATGTGTGAATTCTCCTAGGAAGCCTCAGATATTTTTTCTTTCTTTTTGGAGATCAAAGTTTATCCCATAAAGCTAAAGAATAAAAATGGATCCATATTGCATTTCTGAAAACTTCTGAAACTGATTGAATTGAAAAGAAGTACTCACAGTGGGACCAGGAAGTCCAGGGAATCCTCTCTCTCCTCGTTGTCCAGGAAGACCAACTACACCACGTTGTCCAGCAATACCTTGTGGGCCAGGAGTACCAGGGGCACCCTATAAAACAAAATAATGTGCATTTCAGAAACAAGGCATAGAGTTAGTGGACAATCAGGTTTCTTTTTTATGAGTAGTATGTGCTACCAGATTTCCCATTCATGATCTTTTATTGATTCATAGACTGCACATGTTCTCATCTTTAGTTAACGTTGCCATTGGCCATTAGTTTAGAGAAGATGATGGAACTAGACCTCAATAATTAAGTAGCAAGCAGTGTTTTGTCCCTTCTGGATGCAAGAATTTTGGAGGGTTTAGATGAAGAGAAAACTGGTGGATGCCCTGATACTTTTTAACATTGCAAGTAATATCATTCTTTCCTAGTTTTCCAACCCATATCCTTCCTGAGTAGGAGTTCCAATCCTCTGGATGGCTAAATGTGAAACTCCCACAGAAGACTCTGTTACTACTGAGATTTTTATGTGTTATGCTTTTTTTATTCAAAACAACATAAGCAAACAAATAAACTAGTAAATATAATTAGACAAAGGTAGGAAACCATTAAAAAAAGAGTAACAAAAATGTAACTAATTTAAATATTTTTTCCAACTTGGGAATCCCTGTTGTGCATAGTTTGATTTCCAGAACTGGCTGTTGTTAAGATTTCTGGGGCATTTCCAGGATGCTGAGATTGGGGAAGACTGATCCAGGGGATACATGGCTTCTTATGACAAGGAGCAGCCTTTGCCCGGAAAAAGATGCAGAACTCTATAGATATTACCAATTGCCATGAAAATGGTCATGGATGGTAGTTGCATGAAAAGGCTGTAACATTACCATCAGGGAAGGATACATTAAATATTAGCTCAAGACAGATTTGTATTCAAAAAGTTATTGCTAGATGTCATAGGGAGATTTCTCAAAGAGGAGATGCCCAGGTTGATTCAAACATTTCATTGAAGAGAAGTGAATTTTAGATTTACTTACAGCAGGTCCATCAGCACCAGGAGATCCCTTCTCACCAGAAGGTCCAGGTGGGCCAGCAGGTCCGACTTCACCAGGGCGTCCAGCGGGTCCAGTCTCACCACGGGGTCCTTTGCTTCCTTCCTTTCCACTAGGGCCAGGTGGGCCGGGAAGACCAATGTTGCCCTTTGGGAAAAGAAAGGCAACAAGTCTATCAGTGACTGAAAGACTCAGCCAAAAGATTCTATGCAACAATGTTTTTTTTTTAAATATAAATCTTTATTAAATGAGGGGCTCTGGATGGGGATGCAATTAGGCTTCAAATCAGACAGATCATTCTGGATGAGCAAAATTTTCTCTTCTATTGGCTAATCATATTAGTTGTTTGTTCAAGGAAGCAACGTTAACCACATTTTGGACAAGATGTATGTTGAAGAAATCTAGCATGTTCAATTGAAAGGCATTAATTCAATGAACAACTCCCAGGATTCCCTGGGAAATAAGGTGTATCTATTACATCGGTACTCCTGATATACTTTTCCTGTTCATTCCTTCACTTTGTTGTGTATTTTCTGAACTGAAATATCCACAAAATATCCACAACACTGAAATACTAAACTGCCCTCCATTACAAATGTTTTAATTTTGGGGCTGACTTTTTTCAATCAACAATTTATAAAAAAAGACTGGTTGCAAAACTATTTGTAAGTATAATATTTTAAAGCTTCCAGTTCAGAATTAAATATTAGATTGAATGCTCATTGAAATGAATCAATGTTTAGTCTCAAGAAAGAGACAAAAGGAAAATTAATTTGCATTTAACTCATTGAATATTAAGGCCTGAATTTCTCCAGCTGTTTCTCACATAGGTAACATTTCCTCTTTATAATTAACATTATGCTCCTCATTTGCCAAAGGGGATTAAAATTCTCCTTGTGAATTTTCCTTCCCTGATGGCCATTTTGAAGTTTTGAGGACCCCCCCCCTGCCCACTAATTTATTGCCGAAACTGTGTGGTTACTTACAGATGGGCCAGGAGGTCCAACTCTTCCAGCAGCTCCAGGGAATCCAGTAGCACCCTATAAAAATGAAGAAATATTCCAGTTTCAATTATCCTTTCCTACAAAAGAAAACTAACACAGGTTTACTGAATATACCATGTTCCAGTGGATGCAATTGTTTAAAGGGGTTTTGCTCTGATTCTCAAATGTGAAAGCTGGTGTGAAAAGCTCTCTCACATCTTTTAACACCTTGTCTGGATGCACCACTGTTTCTTGTTTAATGGAAAGGCTTTTATTTCTGATGCATTTCTGAACTGCTAATTGGGAATCCCAAATATATTAACCAAGTAAGAATACATGACCTAGGAGGTGCTAATAATATCTGCTAGAATGTTCTAGGCAGGATCTAAAATAGGATTCTTTCACCATCATACATGGCATTAAGCTGGCCAGTGAGACCTTCTTAAATTTATTTAATGTTATATTTAAATATCATGTTTATTCAAGACCCTTTTAATAGGGTTGTCATATTTATTTAATAAGATATTTAAATATAATATTTGTTTAAGGTCCTATCCCTTGGTGTTAGTCCCTTAGTCCCTTTCTGCTTAGTGTAAATTAAAGGCTCTTAGAGAAAAGTTATCTCTTTTGCATTCTGTTCAGCACGTCATAAGTGCTGAAAGTTTTATTAATTATCTAAATCAATTTAGGAAAATAAAATATCTGCAAGAAAATGATGCAAGCTCAGAGAGTACCAAGGACCGCTCCTTTCTAACCCTGAGCCACAATTATTCTCCTTTATTGGAGATTTAATTCTGCATTCTTTGAAAACAGGAACAATAATTTGAATCCTTACTGAACTACCATTTCATAATATAGCATCTGATTTAATAATATAGGGACTCATACTCACAGGGGGACCAGCGTTTCCGCGAGCACCTTTGGGGCCAGGAGCACCAACAGGACCCTGCAATCAATAGGGAGAGGTTAGCATGAAACTAAAGACTGAGCGAAGAGCAAATCTTCATGGAAGAGAGTGCGGAGTAGTGAAGGAGAACTTACAGCAGGGCCAGCAGGACCAGTAGCTCCAGCGGGACCAGGAGGACCAGCATCACCTTTAGCACCAGCATCACCGGGTTCACCTTTAGCGCCAGGTTGTCCATCAGTTCCCTATTGGAGCAGAAACAACAGAAGTAGTGAAGATCAGGGAGATGGGGACAGAGACACAGGTGATTCTATGAGATTTAATTTCTACCTTTTTGTGCATTTCCCAAATATATCTAACTAAACCAATCATTGAACAAACTTTTAATTTCCTATTAAAGAGAGGTACCTTGGCAATCAACTGCTTTGAAACTCATTGAATTTGGTACATAACGCATTTTGATGTGAAAAATTTGTCCCCATAATCATTGTTTGTTTGGCATTCAATGCACAAACTAGAATCTGTGTCAGCTGCCTTGTGATTTATTACATTATTCCTTGTGAGGAAAAATGTGTTTGGTACTCCGCGTTTTTGGTATTTATCCTGCCTCCTGGAACCAATTAGCAATGAGTACCAAGATATCATTGTATACAGTTTTCTGGATTTTCCATGGACGATCAACCAGGGAAAGGTACTGTAGAAGGCTAAGGATGGGGAATTGATAAGTTTTGAGAAATTTGCTTTTGCAGATTTATATCTCTGTTACTCTAGGCAGAATTGTTGGTTAAACCTTTACCTTTCAGTAACTAACTCACTGAATGCTTGAAGAGCAATAATAATTTGTCTTTCCAATCACCCTCACAGAGTTGGTAGAACAAAAACAAATTTGCAATGCACAAATTAAAGAACTTGCAATGTCTAATGTTCTTGGGATCTCAATCGAACTGGTTCTATGACCACTCTTTTATAGTCCAAATCACTTGCTTCTGAAAAATATTGGTAACAGAAATCCAGCTGGACATAATGGCTTACTTTCTGGAGCTCTACTGGTTTCTGTGAGTTTCAAGGTGGTTCAGAGTATCAAATACTATTGGAGAAATCATTTGTATTCATTCATATCTATCAAACCACTGTAATTAGATTATGGGTAAGGACAAATTGATTAGATCCCAACTCTGGAATTGATTAGTTCAACTTTCTTTTCCTACCAAAGGTCATTTGCTGGTAATCTATGGCTGTTCTCTGGTTCACTTACTATGTTCCTACAACAATATAACACAGTAAATTGATTACAGAGTTAATCCAGAGACTTGGTTAATACCAGACCACACATTTATCTAATGGGCTGGATTCACATAATAAACTAAATTACAGAAAACACCCAATCAAATCAAGTGCTTATTGGGTTTAAGATGTTGTGTAAACCTGTCTTCTAGATTTCTAAGGTTAAGTATATTGTGCGAAGAAAGCTTTCGCCTCATTACAGCAGAAAGAGGATGCAAGCATTTTAATGGGATTCCTGAGAAGCAGGAGAGATTTTCCATCATACTTACAGGGGGTCCAGCAAATCCAGCAGGTCCAGCAGGGCCAGGTTCACCACGGTCTCCCTGGGAAGGACAAGAAGAAGACAGGAAATGTCATGATGAGAGAAAGAATTGCAAAGTTGAAAAGAAAAGATAAGAGCTATGCAGCTATGCCAGAGCTGCATAAACAGCATTTCAAGACAAGTCATCTCAAGGCAAAACAACCCAAACAAACCTAGGAAGGTAAATTACTTACAGGAGCACCACGTGCACCAGTGGGGCCAGCAGGGCCGGAGGGACCACTTTCACCCTGGGGAAGAAGACAAAGGGAGAAGGTTAAGCACCAGACCTAGCAGTAGGGTCCTATGCATTAAAAATGTACTATAAGGACAATTTCTTTTTGATAAGTCAGTCTTACACTAGGTACTATGGATAAAAATCACAAATTGCTTCTTCTTTGCAATCACATGAAAAATTTAAAATGGACAATACGCCTTCAGTTCTAACTAGAGATTCACTGAGTTTTCAGTACAAAAATATGGGTTTTCCATTATTTGTGACTATTAAGCTGAAAGAATGCAACAATGGTTAATAGGTATCAAGAGAGAGATATGGGAGGTGGGAAAACTGGTCATGTCTTTTGGGTGGGTGGTTTAGTCAGTTTCTAGTCTTTTTTCATTTACAAGTATACTTCAAACTATTTTCATATTAAGTAAGTTGTTTTAAAATCTACTTGAAATGGCATTTTCCATCTAGGTATTTTGAATTCGTTTAATTGTAAAGTGGACTCATTATTTTAATGCATTTCTCATGAAACCATATGTTTATAAGCCAGGAAATGCATCATAAAATATGGAGAAGTGTAATATCCAAAGAATAATTGAATTATAGTCTCTGTATTAAAATGAAAGATGCACATTGGGTTAGTTTGCTTGAAATAAATGAAAGCAATGAGTATCCTACTGATTTAGTTTCTAGCATTTGTAAAAAGCTATCCTTCAGATCAGATGTTATAACTATTAAGCAGAGGATTTTCTTAAAGTTCATAAGTTGCTACAAAAAGTCTTTGAGGCAGTTTGTCCTAGATAAATATTTACATCTTCTCAATTATATCATTTTGCTTTCTCTGATGCTTTCTAAAAAAAAATGGCAATCCAAATTTGATTTGAAAATGGCAGCTACTTCCTAATTCATGCACAAATCTGTGGAAATGCCAGCAAATGTTAAACATTAAATAAAGCATATGGCACGGCTTCCAATAATCAGAAATCAGTAGGAGTTTAAGAAGAACAAGTTGGTGGAATATTTGCCTTGTCACCAGGAGAACCAGCTGGTCCAGGTGGGCCAATGGGTCCAGTCAATCCTCTAGGTCCATCTTTGCCAGGAGAACCATCAGTTCCTTTGGCACCTGGGTCACCCTAAAAAAGAGAAAAGACAAAATAAGATTATCAATATTGAAAAGATCAGAAAGGCATCATGATTGGAAAGAATAATAGAATAATAGAGTTAGAAGGGACCTTGGAGGACTTGTACTCCACTCCTGCTCAAGCAGGAAACCCTGTACTATTTTAGATGGTTTCCAATGGTTGTCCAATCTCTTATTAAAACCTCCACTGTTGGAGCCTCAACTTCTTGGAGGCAAGTCATTCCATTCATTAATTGTTCTAACTGAGGTTCTCCCTAGTTCTAAGTTAATTGTCTCATTTATTATTTCCATCCATTGCTTCTTGTCCTACCTTCAGAGGCTTTGGAAACTGACCCCCTCTTCTTTGTGGCAGCCCCTCAAGTATTAAAGTACTGCTATAATGTCATCCCTAGTCCTTCTTTTCATTAAACTAGATATATTCAATTTCCCGTTCTTCATATGTTTTAGCCTCATCAGTTGTTATTCTCTGCACTCTTTCTTAACATCTTTTTCAATATTCATATATTTTGAAATCTTGAAATAAGATTTCACATCAGGCTTGATGTTAGGAATTTTCTTGAATATATCTCAAAAGCTAAATATCGAAATCATAATTCTGGGTTGCCCTCTTAAGTTTTACTTCTTATTTCAAGGCCTCGGGCCAAGCTGGAAGACAACAATGGTCAATCAACCTTTTTAATTTGGCTTGGACTGTATTCAGAAAAATATCTTAAAGCCAGTTAATGGAAGATAATATAAAATTAATTCTTCTTTGCCTTTTTGATTCTCCCAGCAGTTTATTTGTATGGTGGCATTAGAAATGACCATAACTTATATATAGATGAGAAACATGGGTGAAGACTGTAAATTCATCAACTGTCATACTTTGTCTAAAATAAAAATAAACCCCTATTCACAAACCCCTATTCATTCAGATATCTCAGTATCATTCCAGTCTTCCATCCAAAATTTTACCATACAGTCTAAACCAGACTGACCTGATGGACAGGTAGTGAGAATCTATGTCAAGATTATCTCTAGGTACAAATCTTGAAGGAACTTAACCATGCATGATATGTAGATGATATTTGGAAAGGAATGGATGTCCTTTGAAAAAAGCAGGATGCTTTTGCTGGTTCTCCACCTTTTTAAGCATAGTAAGATGATGGCTGCCATTTTGATGACAACAAAGTTCAACCGTCATGTACTTACTCTATCTCCCTTGGCACCAGGCAGACCAGCAGCACCACGTTCACCAGGCATACCCTGAAGACCAGGAGGACCTTGACCACCAGGAGCTCCAGGAGCACCAGCATCACCCTAGAATTGAATAATCAAGGCAACAAAGATTAGGAATGGAACCATTTGAAAACTACAATGAAAGAGAGAGAGAGAGAAAAGAGGTGCCTATCTATTCTTTCCTTTAAAAATGTTATGTATATATTGTATCTTCTGAATTCTATTTTTCACACATGTATCTAACACAATATTTAATTTTTCTGATCCTTACAAGGTATATTAAGGAAAAGTAAAAATGATATTGTTCCCGGGAAAGCAACAGTGTAATGGATTTGGATATATAATCTATCATTCTGAATACCCAAGGGTAAAGTCTATTCATTTATCTTTAAGGTAGCCTTTCCATTTTAACATTTATTAATCTTTTACCTTAGCACCATCATTACCCGGGGCACCATTGGCACCACGGGGTCCAGAAGGACCGGCAGGACCTTGGGCACCACGTTCACCAGGGAAACCTCTCTCGCCCTAGATGAAATAAAGAGTGAGTTGATTACAAATTGTTTATGGAAGCATTGTTGGACAAGTGAAGACAAATAAGAACCTAGGGAGAAGATCTTTACTTACTCTTGCACCAGAAGGACCAGGAGCACCGACATCACCAGGGACACCCTGTCAGAGTAGAGAGAAACAGATATTGTTAAAAGATAGAGCCATTGAGAATGCATGCAGCTAATGAACTTAATTTGACATGGGGGGTGGACAGGGGGAATGCAGTTCAGCAAGAAATGGATGGTTCACACTCATGTCTGAAGGCAGGATTATATTTTTTGCTTCTTTCATTCATGAAGTTTTAAAGAACTTTAAATAGAAGAGTAGGTATGAGAAGGTAGGTATTTTTTCTAGTGGAAATAAGAACTCTCAAGACAAAGATACACTGTAGAAGAAAGAAGTATTTATCTTCTTCCATGAACAAGAGATTGTTTCCTTCGAAATGTTTTATTTGGAATATAAATATTTCTCTGGCTAAATTCTAAAGATGGCTTTCCTAAACTGCTAATTTCTTCTTCAGAAAAATAGAAAAATAATTGAACCCTGTATTGTTCTGCTGCCATATTGATGATGCACTAGTCAAAAATGAAATTCTCCAGAAACTTTATTGTTTAATTTCAAGTCTCAAGGCCACTGAAATCTTCAGAAAAAAGTTCTATGTGTTATGTATTAATCTGCATTTGAAATTATTATCATGCTACATAGAAATAGAATAGGCTCATTGTCTTATAATAGGCTCATAATCTCAGAAATACTTTTACATTTAAATTTGAAAGATGTAATCCCAAATTACAGTAATACAGGAATCCACTATTACAGCATCTCTAGTATATAATTATCAAGTGCCCCTGAAAAGTGATAATAATGGTTATTATCACTGTCCCTCACTGGATGAAAGAGAGTCCACCATCTTCCAGGATAGTTTGTTCCAAACCTTGGAAAGCTACTAAAAGTCTTTCTTCCCCTATGGAAGTATTTTTAAGTGACTTGGCCAATCAAATAACTGTTTCATCAAAAGAATATGAAATCATAAACTGGTCATAATAATGTCCTGAAGAGAAAGTAAATTTCCTCCTACTGAAATTCTCTACAACTACTAAAAGAATTTAGGAATTGGGAATTATAAAACAGAAAAATATGGGCCTGGTTTTCCATATGCCAGTAGATGCTTTTCAGTTGTTGGATGGTGTATGCATCCATTTAAAAAAGAAATGCACAAAAAGTTCCAATGGGGAAAATGGCAGACATTATTAATGTGCAAAGTAAGGCTATTCTGGAGAATATTTGTGCTGAGTTCAGACTCCAACTAGCCTGTTCCAAAGTCTGCAACTCAAGGGTCCTAATTTAGTTTGTCCCTGCTTCAAAGCATGTACAATTCTTTCTTAACACTTCTGCATATAGGAACACATTACATACTTGTTCACCAGGCTTTCCAGATTCACCAGGGGCACCAGCGGGACCAGGAAGACCCTGAAAACAAAAATTGGAAGTGAAGGAAATATTAGCTTTGCTAGGAGTGGATGAGCCCGACAATCAAATACAGCTTATTAAACAGGCTAACTTCAAAAGGTTTACGTCACTAGTACCACTAGTACCTCATGAATTTTACATGCTTCTATTTTACAGCAGTGTTTTCCAACTTGGCAGCTTTAAGACCTGTGGGTTTCAATTCCCAGAATTCTCCAGCTAGCTGAAAGCACTGTTTCAGTTTTCTTACAGACCTTATGGCTTGTACTCAATAAAAACTATATATACTGAGTATTTTAGTTCTGTTCTCCTGAGCAAATAAATGTACATCATTTGAACATTCAAAAGAAACAAAAAGTAATGGTATTAAATATTTAACTGGTATCTGTCTGTCTATCTATCTATCTATCTATCTATCTATCTATCTATCTATCTATCTATCTATCTATCTATCATCTATCTATCTTTGTAGAGAGAGAATGTACACATTTGTTTTTTCAAGCAATCCTGCTCACCTGGAAGCCAGGAGCACCGGAGGGACCTTGTTCACCTCTTTCACCAGCAGGACCCTGTAATGAAAAGGTAGGAAAATTCAAACCTTGACAGAATCCAAAAAAGGGATAAATATTCATAATACCGAAGGAGGAGAAATCAAATCCATACTTACAGCTGGGCCTGGAGGACCTTGGGCACCAGCATCGCCATCTTTGCCAGGAGCACCCTGGGAGAAACCAAGGAGGAGTAAGGACAGGAACAAGCAGAGCCCAATGTTTTAAAAATAAACCTGGCACAAGAATTCTGTTGATTGAAAACCTTCCCACCAAATGCCTTTTCCCACCTACCACATGATCAGATAATTTATCTCTGTAGAGATATTCCCCTGCATTCTCTCTATCATTGCATGGAAAACCATCTCAGTGTGGATGTAGTAATGAAGGTGATGGAGTGGCGTGGGGCATCCCAGGGTTTAGCCCACCTTCGGTCACAGAACCTATCAGATGATTTTCAGCCAGTCCCCCTCCTAAGCCTCCATTCCTTGCCCCCCTCTCTCTTATATAGATCCCAAAACCCCTAAAAAAAGGACTTTTGACTATAGAAAGCTTTAGGATATATATATGAACTCCAGTGGAGATTGCTCTAATGCAACATTTATGTATATATGTATCTGTGTATGTGCAAACATATGTAGGTATGTATTCGGTATATTTATTTGTAAGATGTGTATAGCCTCCCAGTTCTATAAAACAACTCTGGGTAACTATTTATTACCAGCAATTATGTAAACTAATCCTTGTATATATGTCCATCCAGATCACTGAAGGGAATAATAGAGGGCGAGGAACAAAATACTTACGTTAGCTCCAGTGGCTCCGGGAGCACCTCTCTCACCAGGTTTGCCAGGTTCGCCCTAGAAGAGGATGTGGTGGTGGTGGTGGGGGAGAGAATAGATAGAGAATGGGAGTTATTTCAGGGAGAGAGTCAATAACTTCCATTTCATTCTTCAGTATCTCTCCATGCTGTGGCAAATCTAGGATGCCCAGGTTCAATTTGTATTACATAAGCATGGTCTTATACATATTTGAAAGGCAGTTGAATGTCTTTCATACAATCATAGTATGTGGGGATGACCTTGGGACACAATGGCAAGAGTCACAGCTTAGACAATGGTCAGATAAGAGGCAACTGAGTTCACAGAAAGAATGGGAGATGGCAAAAATATCAGAATAGCAATAGCAATAGCGGTAGACTTATATACCACTTCATAGGGCTTTCAGCCCTCTCTAAGTGGTTTACAGAGAG